TTTTGCAACTGTTACCGCTATGATTTATGAAATGATTATGAATAGACAAAGATAGGTTAGACTTACTGACGATAAGCTAACTGGAATCAAATTTTAGCGTTCACCAGTCGTCAGGATGATCGACAACTGGGACTACCCTGTGAAATATACGTACGATCGAACGCGAAAGGGAACCAAAGTGTATCGTAGCATATGGATGTTAGTCATATTCAGATTTGTTTATGATTATGGCAAAATTCAGGAGATGTTTGGTTTTGGCAACGTTTCCGAGGGATGAACTTCTTTTTGGTTACCTGCTATAATTTTTTGTTCTCCGGAGTAACCTCATAGGGATGCTGTTTGTGTCAAGAGATTCGCTCTTACACATTTTTGAACACTTTCGACGGGTTTGACGCGCTTATAAGAAACCACGCAATTGACGGCTGGGAAAAAAACAGATTCACATTCAACAGTGATTTTCCAATACTACTTTGAAGTCTCTTAAAATTTCGAGTTTTCATTCTGTATAAAATTATACTTAATTAGGCTTATTCAAACTGAAATGGTAAATAGAAATTTGTCAGTCATGTAGCCCCAGTACGATCGCGCTCTATCTATAACTTGTCAAGATCACATACATCTTATCAACCTGATCAAGTTCATATTCCTCCTGGTTTCCTGAATGTCCTTTGCAGTGCGTGGTTTATTTTGCCAAAACTGTTTACGGTGACTTTCTGTGACCGCTTGTAATCGGCAACCCTTCATTAATTACCTAAGCCAAATCCATTTGAATAAATTGATCGACAAGTAACCCCAGACCTACCCAGATTAGCAACTGATCTTTGTCTGTTTGGATAATGTGAGCAGTTTCATCTGACTGCGACCAGTTCTAGCAGCAAACATATTTTTTAGGGAATCGGGACCTCCATTGGTGAAGAAATATATAGTGACACAGGAAACAGATCGTCGGGTAATCCTTTCTTTAGATAATGGAAGCGGAAATGTCCTCTTTACAAAGGTAAGCCTGATAAAACTTTTTGCCTTATTCTTTGTTTACTCGATGGTTGCCATACTGAGCTGTTTTTCAGTCGTGATAACGAAGTTTAACACAAACTTCACACATTGGGCTTTCTTTTTAGGAGGACTGCGTGCCATCGTTACTACGACAGGACCCTTTCGGCTTGGAAAATTTTCTGGTAGCATATTCAGCAAACAAAAAGGGGAGATGGCGATTGATGACCGATGCTAGTAAGAATATTCTCTCTCTTCAGGTAAATAGGTTTTTATAAAGTGAAAATTTGATGTTTTATATGATTGCTCTGAGGCTTAACAAAGAAAAAGCGCAGTAAGCTTATGTTTTAAGGATTCTTCGAACTCTGTTCGGGTTTCAGCTGCTCGACAGGTGCGAATTGGAAGAGACAAGTATGTATTTGTTACTGGACTGTTTGACCAGGCTTTCAGTATCGACTTTGACGTTAGTTCTGAAGTAGTGGAACTGCACACTGTAGCTTCCGATGAGAAAGAAATACATCGATCCGCTAAGATTAGTACTTACAAAGCCCTGTCTAGGTGAGTTGTTCTTTTTTATGTATTGACTTCTCTTATTTGCTGATATTCTCTTAATGTGTCTAACATTAAAGACTGATATTTCCTTGTGTAGATTTTTCCTGAACTCGATTTCAGTAAACCAAACCCTCCTAAAAAAAAGAAAAAACGGCGCTTTGCCCCGGTAAATTTTGAAGGAGAGCGGAACGAAAATTTCCGTATTAATAATAATGATTCAAATGGAGAAGAATCGCCATTATGGATGGCCAAGCTCCACTTACTGTACTTCGAATATTCGGAAAAACTAAGCAAGCGACTTGCCAACATGAACCGAGCTTTGTGGGTTGTAATATTTAGTTGAAATTTTTGCTCATTTTATAACACGTTTGGTGCCTAATAACTTTTGAACTTCGTGAGGGGAGCCTTTTCAATTCTCAGAAAAGATTTTTAGCGGTAATAATTTTTTTTCTGCTTCAAGCATCACCTTTTTTTATAGGCGACGCCGATCTCCAACGCCTTTAAGACATAAAATCAAACGTTACCGTAAAGCTCATAGAACGAACTATCGTTTTGGGGAGGATGAGCAAAATGCGGGTGAATCAGAACAGGTACATTTTGGTGCCGAACGCTACGGAGAAACTGCGCGTTGCAGCTCAGAGAGTATTGATGACGACCTTGTTAGCTGCAAGAACGTCTCTATAGCTGAATGCATAGTACAGCCAGTTCGTCGAAAAGGAAGGGAGAAAGTAAAGGATTTGTAAATTTTTTACTTACAGAGGCACTAACAAATTCAGATTTTCTACATAGTTACTAGATGGTTTTGAGTAGAAAAATGATGAGTGGAAGTTAGTTGTAGACGATAAATCTGAAAATTTGTTTTAAAAACGGAATTATAAATTTTTTTTAATTAGCGGTACAAGTAATATATTTAACACAAATGATTTCTGTTTAATTGTTTAGAATGAGGAAGGTTGCTTGAAGATTAGACCCGTATTTACACAAGGTCGTTTTTCAGAGAAAACGACATTCTTCTGCTCATTTTGAGGAACCTGCAATATTTGAACCAAAAGAATGTAAGGTTGAGAGTCCTGAAGGCGCGGGAGAATTGCCTGTTGTCGAACCTGGCACTAATCTCGAGAAACTGCAGCTGTTGGAATCTAATATTTTCTCAGTCACTCGTTCTTTTCTGAATAATGAGGTTTTGAAGATCGGCATGCCAGTTGACGGTCTGTTACCTTCTACGTTCGCAGTCAACGTTTACGATCCATTTGAAAGCAGTAAAGGGTTAAAGTTGCCCGATAATTTTCGTGGAGTCCTATTGTTGCAAAAACTGCGGCAGTTTAAGAAGAAAATTCATATTAGGTATCAAGATTGTGGCTAATATTCTTTCCTCTATTTTCGAATAATCGAACCTTTTAAAAACTTGATTAACTGTGTATACAAATGTGTTTTCAAGGTGTCTATTCAATCCTTTCGACTTTGTCAGTCGCTACCCTGAAAAAGTTGTCGGCAGGCTTCCGAAAGCAAAAGACACTAAATTTCATGAACAAAAGATCTTTGCTAAGGTCAAACATATTTATCCGCAAAGCGATGCCTCAATCTTCGGCTGTGGTTCGCTTGAGGTAATTTGAACTTTTTACTAATAGGCATTAAATAAGGATTGCAGCGTCGATGCCAGTAGTTCTATAGGCCCTTGTGAAATGAGAACTCTATCGATAGTTGATTCTTCAGGCAGATAAATCAGCTGGTGAGGAGTATCAGAGGAAGCGATGTTGTGGGAATTGCTTTGAAGACGACCGGTACTGTATCGCACTCAAGTGTGGTCACTTCTTCTGTGAATATTGTTGGCTAGCTCACATTAAAACTTCCGTGTACATGGGTCAGGTGCCAGTTACATGCCTGGTGAGTACAGCTGTGTAGAAGTTAAAAACTAAAAATGGGAAGTTTCTTTTTGCGCAAACTTCCGTAAAAAATGAATCATATTCTGAGGAAAATTGTGGGACAGGATGTGTATTTCGATTAGTTTCAGGATTATAGTTGCAACCTGGCGATGAATAGAGAGCAGATGATGCTGATAGCTCCTGTGGATTTTTGTTACCGGTATAATGCATTAGTGAAACAGAAATTACTAACTGAAAATCTCAACAAAAAACACCGGTGGTTCAAATGCGAATCATGTGAAACTGTTAACGAGGTCACGAATGAAGAGGCAAAGAACTTGCTTGCACAGTGCTCATGCGGATATACCGTTTGTATGAAATGCCTTAATAGAGCACATTTGCCTCTGAACTGTGATAATGCCAAGAAATATCACAACATTCGTTCGAGTGAATTTTTTAATAGTCAGCAGAGAATAGTGCATCTAGTGGAGCCAGTTTAAGCACATTTCGTTTTTCCGTTATTTTAGATTATGGTCATTTAATGACGTTGGAAGGCTTTTTTGGGATTTTTTGATTATTGTTTTAGACATTCATTGTTTACTGCATTTCTAAATGGTTCCTGTGAAGGATATTTTCAGACACTTTGGGAAGTGACCAGGGCGTCGTGAGGATCGCTGTGCGCCAGTGTCCTCAGTGTAAAGTGTTCTGCCAACGATCTCATGGTTGCGATCACATGACTTGCACATGTGGACAACAGTTTTGTTACAAGTGTTGTCAGAAATTGTCTTTTACTAACGATCATGACAACTGTGTCGAAATTGAGATAGTAAGTTTTTGATTGCATTGGGGAGCACTCTTAAAGGGCAGAAATTCTGTCGGGCTGTTACTATGGAGTACAATGTTATATAGTATATATTTACGGTGCCTCTGTTTGACAGAAATGACGTTCTGTTAATGCATATTTAGAGGTGGGGTTGCTGGAAGTGCGAAGGAAACTATGCTTAGTTTATTTATAGGATTTTTAGTGTCTGCTAAGGAACTTTTTTACTGGAGGTGAGGTTGAAAAATGCACTTAATCCAAATTATTTGAAGACGAATTCTGTTTATTACCTGAATGCGTTCAAGAGCTGTTGATTTATACTTTTCTTTAGAACGTTGATCTTATTGACGCTCCAAAATCAATTTGCTTTATCCCCAAGAGTACCTATGAGCAGTGCCTTTATTTTCAAGCTCAGAACACTCCACCGAGTTTTAACAACTTACGTTTATATCCTCCGAAAAATCCATTGAACTCTCTTCGAAGGAAGCATATTAATTTTGTCGTTCATTGGGTATGTTTTTAGCTTTTAATGAAAGTGTGCGGGATGAATGAGGGCTCGTTCATTTTTTTATCTTGCGTTACTGAGAGGGATTTGTTAACTGAACCGAATAGTTTTGCAGTGGAAATGCCTTTTAAAAGCTGTAATAGAGTACTTGTATGATTCATTTGATTTCTCGCAGTGTATTAATCAGGGAGTTATATTGTGTTCATTTCACTTCAGGCTTATACAACTTTGGAATTTTGCTGCGTTCAAACTTGTCTGAAGAGGCGTAGGTTAAACTGGACCAAACGAAATAATCTTCCATTTTTTAAATTGGCTTGCGAGTTTGCACTCCTGAATAGGTATTATCATCAACTTCAGTTCCTGGTCCTACGGCTAAAACAGCTATGCGAGTATGACAAGGGCGGCTTGACAAAGCTAGAAGAGTACTCTAAAGAAATTGAAAATGCCATACTTAGGATTTTTAATATTAGTGTTTAATGAATTTAGAAATATTTAATGAGGGTCTTATCATTTGATTATGATTCCTTTATTGTTTGGCTCTCTTAATTTTCTCTCTAAAACCTGAACTTTCTCAAAAATGTGCCTATGTTGTGGTACTGTGATTTTGTCTGTATGTAGTGAACGGACGACAGCTTTGTTGTCTGCCTAGAGTGCGGGTTTATATGGCTCTGAGGTTATAGATTTTTTTGGAGCCACCTAATTTATTTGTGTCATCGAATGGTTTGCTGTTGTAAGAATATGTAAAATAATAACATTTACCAGAATGAGTAAAGGAATAATGTCAAATTAAACACTGCCTATTACTCACGTGTATTATGAGACACTGAGAAGGACGATAGCTTGAAAAGTACAATAATATTGTTTCTTTTTTTTTAGACTGATTTTCTGTAAATGGATGTTTTCTCGTGAGGGGATCCGGGAACCAGGTTTTTTGGAGCTGCTGGTTTTTTTAAATGAAGGGTCAAAGAAATCGGGGTTGATTTATAATTTGTGCGACACAGTCATATATTTTTTTTCTTAAAAAAGAAGACTGTAGGAAGTGTAAAATTTTAAAAATGCGACGAGTGGAAGAGGTTAATGTCAACCGAAGCAGAATAGTATGGGCAGAAAAGGGTTTTTGACAGAAAGAGTTGGTTATAGGAGCAGCAAATACAACGAGTTGCATAAAGTGACATCGTGTGTGATGTAACAGACACTATCAATGCTTGTAGAAATTAGATTTGAAGAAGGGTTGTAGTACGAGTCAAAGCCTGTTTGCCCAATTTTAATAAGGCATCGACTGTGTTTGTTTCCTGATCGGAACTTGCCTTCTTCATACTTTTGCAGATGTAAAGTCAAGTTCGGAAGATAGGAAAAGGAACACAGTACAGTATAACCAAGTTCTGTGAATTAGAGCGATTTTTGCGCTAAATTGGTTGGTGTTCAAAGAAATGGGGCTAGAGACTGATTCATCGGTTTTGTTAAATAGTCATTCCAGTTCCTTATGTCACTGGTACGATTTTACAGACCAGGTTATAAAATGAAACAAGTTTGCTGTAGTCAGTTTAAAGTTTTATAAAAGAAGACAAATAGGAAACTACGCTGGATGAATGGTTTTACAAATCACCTATCTTGAGAAACAAAGTCGTACTTTTTGACCACATACGTAAGCGGGGATAGCAG